TGCGTCGGGCTTGGTTGATTGTCTTCCCGGACGGAATCGAATCTCAAAATCGAAGCTTCCTAACACCTCAACCCACCTTGCCTGTCTCCTGGTAAGCTCTTTTGTGGTCATGAGTGATTGGAGGTTCTTGTGGTCAGTGTACACAATAACACTCAGCTGATGCGGGTTTCCTTCCAAATATTGGCGCCATTCTTTGAAAGCCGTCACTACTGCCAACAATTCCTTGTCAAAAATTTCATAGTTTTGTTCTGCTTGAAGTAAGGATCGTGATAAAAAGGCCACTGGATGAAGTTCTTCGTCGTCTTTTGACACCTGTGATAAAACTGCACCAAGTGCAAAGTCAGAACAGTCGCATTCAATAATGAAAGCCCTGTACGGATCCGCGATCTTCAACACCGGAGCAGATGTGAAAGCTTCTTTAAGGCGCTCGAATGCTTCCCGCCGAGCGTCCGTCCAATTGAAAGGGATTGATTTTTGAGACAATTCGTGCAGCGGCTTTGCTATTTCAGAGAAGTGGGATATAAATCTTCTGTAAAAATTAGCGAATCCCAAGAACATTTGCACTTCAGATAGGTTTTGTGGAGCTGGCCACTCTTTAACGGCTTTGACCTTTGACTCATCCATACGTATTTGATTACATGATATTATCAATCCTAAGTAAGATACCTCTTTTTGGGAGAACTTGCACTTTTCAGGCTTGAGCCATACGTTTTGATCTTGCAGAATTTTGAGGATTTCTTTCACTTTACTTTCGTGGTCTTCACCTGGTTTTGTATAAATCAGTATATCATCTTGGTAAGCAGCTACATCTTTTCCTATGTGAGCCTTGAGTATGTCATGAATAAAGTATTGAAAGAAGCCTGGTGCTCCAGTTGGTCCAAAAGGCATTGTGAGCGGTTCAAATTGGCCTGCTTTGCACAAGAATGCTAGCTTGGCCTCATCTCCTTCCCTTACGCGCAAGTTGTTGTAGCCGTTGCGCATATCAAGACTGGTAAATTGATCTGCATCTAGAAGGCTGTCTATTAGTTCCATCGTCAATGGGAGAGGATACTTGTTCTTTATTGTTACTACATTCAGTCGACGGTAGTCGAAGCACGGGCGTAAGTTCCCATCCTTTTTGCCAGTGAAAAGGACTGGGGGGGCTGCCCATGGTGAGGTGGTTCGACGTATTGTTCCATTTGACAGTCCTTTTTCAATCATTTTGTTCAGAGCGTCGTTTTCTTTTGGTGATAGAGGGATAATTCTTCCTGCTTGAGGGGTTGCACCTGGTACTAGGTCTACCCAAAAGTCATAAGGACGATGCGGAGGTAATACATTACTCTTGCTCTTCTCGAACATCTCCAGGAACTCGTGATACACACTGGGGACTAATTCGGCCGCGGTCTTCTCAGGTTGATCCTTCACTTTCTCAGCTGCTAGTCTTGCTGAGAAGTTCCACGATGTCTTAGCTGCTGCAATACTAGCATAAGATTTCGTAGGCATCGGTGTTCTTAATTTTCGAGTCGTATTCCATAATCCATGAGTTCGTGTCGTTAATCCTGGTACGTGTCTGTTATTTAGAAGGCATTTTTGATTGCACACTGTACTTTCAATAACGGGTTTTAAGACAGTAGCAAACTCACATTGCGGGGGTGTTTCTGAGTCTATTTTATTCGACTCCACCCCCTCTTCAAAGTTCCTAGCTTCCTCCATTTTGCTCAAGGGCCCAATCGGAGGTGTTGCCGGACTTGAAGATACTGCAATGTTAGGATTAGGCCTTGTGCTCGTTTGTTGAGTTGAATTCGGTGTGTCAGATAATTCTACAGGGGAATAAAGCTTGTGACCTGCTTCACTGACTGTTGGACTCTGAATCAAATCGTACTCACATTGCGGGGGTGTAGATGAGCTAATTTCAAGCTCCACCCCCTCGTCACGGTTCCTAGCGTGCCTTTCAGGCTCCTTTGATACCATCGAGGCTGTTTGCGGACCAGACTAAATCACTAATCCAGACGGAACTGAATCAATGACCGCAATGCTGCCACTCTGGCGCTTTAAACAACTTCTCTTCCAATCAATATGTTCATGGTTCTTCTTAATCCATGGCATTCCCAAGATTAAGTCGTATTTGTCGCGCAATTCAGTGACTATGAATGTTGTTGCTGAATCGTCTTCGTTGATGATGAAGTCTCCTACTTCACTGATTTGAGAGGTATGCCCGCTGAAGCCGGTTACTCTTCTTGGCTCTTCGAGCGGGGAGGTTGTCAATGAGTGTTTGTTCACAAAAGCACAGCTTATTGCTTCATGTGTTGCTCCGCTATCAATGAGGGCACGGGCAACTATTGTTGTGGCATGGGATGGGTCTGTTAGGTGAATGAAATCAATAATTCGGGTATCTTTCATTTCTAAGCTACTGATATCACCCAATTTTTCCATACATTGATTGCTCGGGGGAGGCAAAACTTTCACTCCCGAGCATCGCCATTTTTTGACAAATCTGACTTGCTGACACTTTCTACAACACTACTACCATCTCCTAACTGACTTTCAAGCTCCGCTATCCTAGCCTTCAATTTACTTTCAACTGAATTACCCCTATAATTTGAATTCCACGTTTTACCACGTCTACCAACAAAACAATCTGCAATGAAGTGACCTGTCTTTCCACATTTATAACATGCCTTAGCGGTTCCTCTACGCTTGTACTCTTCATTTGAGATATTCAACTTGTAGGCCGAGCAATCCATCGCATCGGGGTCTACTGACGGTGTCGGAGTAGAGGTAGAGGCTGCTAGCGTGTGACTATTTTCACTGTGTCGATTTATCTTGTTGTCAAGTTTGATAGCATACTTTGCCATCTCTTCAGCAGTCACAAACTCTTCTTTAATCATATACACAGATATTTCTCGTTTCAGACCCTGCTCGAATTGGGACATGAGGATGTCTTGAGGCCACTTGATTACTATAGAGAGCTCTGAAAACTTAATCCAATAGTCAGATACGGTGCCTTTTTGCTTCAACATTCTCATCTCTTTCTCAGCTTTGGAAACTCGCTCGGAATCGAAGAAGGTTGATTTAAATGAGTCGATGAACTTATTCCAGGTTACAGATTCAGACAGAGTCGGGTCTAGGAGTTGATCGGTCAGGCTTTGACCCCATATGCTGGCTTTACCAGAAGTGTACGATAAAGCGAAAGCCACTTTGGCTTGATCATTCGCAAACAGATGGTTGTTAAGCTGCATGTACAATCCTAATTGATTCATGAACACTTCAGCCTTTGCTCCTTTGCTACCATCAAACTTGTCGGGGGTAGACATTTTAGGTTGTCGCTGAGATTGAACCGTTTGATTTACGTAGACAGGTTGAACAGGCGTGGGAGCAGGGTTGGTGTTTCCTGGAACACCTTTGGTAGACATATTAGTAGTCTGAGACGTTTCGAACTGATTCAAACGTTGCTCGGCTTCTAAGCGTTTTTGAGTTTCTACAGCGAGGCTAGCTTTAACTTTGTTAAACTGGGCCGACAGCTGGTTCAGTTGTCTTAAGACTTCGATCATGGTGGGGTCAGCTTGTGGTTCCATCACGTTCTCTTCGAGTTTGTGGAAGACCTCGCAGGGATTATTTGAATTGCTACTCGACTTGGAGGTCGAAGAACTTGGTACGTTGAAACTTGGCGTGTTGAATATGCTTCGGTGGTGAACTGACTTTACTTGCTGGTATAGAACTACTTGACGTAATCTGTATAACCTTGAATCTTTCTTTCTGCTTGGATTTGCGGAGTTAAACTACTTTAAACTTTGATGTCGATACAGATCTAGAAATCTAATTATCTTAGGATTTTACTAAATCCAGCCCCCCCTTGTGAGGATTGACCGCCCCCTTTTAGCCGGGGAAAAGAAAACTATAACTGTATAATACAAACGTGGGAAGGCAAGGGGGCGGTCTGGAACTGTCTGTTGATTCAGGTGAATTCAAAATGAAATACATTCGGACCGGTCTCATATGTATTTGCAAACGGAGATGTTCCCAATTGGTGTACAAAGGGATAAACGAGCAGAGAGAGTGCTTAAGCGGCAGCTGCTTCTCGTTCACGCGCAGTATTTCTCTTCAAAATCACCACATGTAGTATTTCAACGATTATCAACAGCAAGACACAGTATGAGGAGGAGAAGAAACAAAGAACAACTTTAAGAAGTATTGTAAAAATATGAGAGATGGTTACTAAGGCTACCAAACCTCCAATGTAACTTGAGCTTTGTTCGTAGGAGGATACAACTCCTGCCACAGGGCCCAAGAGCTTGAAGTCGCTTCCTTCCAGCGACTCACGCACAAGTTATCGTGATTAGCCCAACCCTGACGAAAGAGAGGAGGAAAGGGAAATACACCAGGCTTCACGCTGTAAACTACAAAGTGGAAAGAATCGACAAAAGACAAAACAATTGGGTCTTTCCGATTGATTTCAATCCGATAAGGAAGGAAGCTATGACACATCCAAGGCTGATTAGCAAGTGAGATAACCGGGCGTTCAAACGCACTGGATATGGCATATCCCATTGTAGGCATGCTCAGCCAAAATTCCTTGGTGCATGAAACCGAATCGTTCTTGAGACGATTGAGAGCATCATGCACCGCAGCAACCCCTTCCATGACTTGTCCAGGTTGCACTTGACAAGGTTTTGAGGATTTTTTGACTGGCATCGCTAAAAAACCTTCATGATCCTCACGGTGTGCTGTGAGTTCCTCAATCAACTTATGCCTCACCAATATGTAGCTGTCTTCACCGGATAAATTAACAGCATGGGCAATGGCCTGATACCCACAGTTTCCACGCGAAGGTGGGTTGTAGATGGAGGTAAGGTAAGGCTGAATCGCTTCAGGAACTTGAGATAGGTAGTGCTGGTTTTTGGAAGAAAAGCATTCTGGACTGAATTGACTGATGGATGATGCTGAGATAGCGCTAGGTTGTATTCTGGATGACTCGCTTGTTTCTGGCTTTTCTGATATGTTGATGATGGAAGAAAGGTCGGGAAAGATTGATGTACCGTATCGTCGACTATCTTTGAGCGTCTCTTCAACCTTTGGATCTGAAGCTGATAGGCCAAGGTCCTCTGCGATCAATCGCAGGGCCACCTCAGGTACAAATACTCGTCGCATGAACCAGTCAAGAGATAGAGGTGTTGTTTGAGCTTCATCAAGCTCGGGTATGAACAGATTGTTCAAGGTATCCAGGATGATCTCAAGTCCTGCCATTCCATAACTAATGCAAGATATCAGCGACCTATCAAACATAATGAATTAAACCTTGACATACTATCCCGGTTGTTCAATTTCAAAGTCATCAAATTGATGTGCGACTGTGTTCCTTTGACGTCCAGATTTGTTCCATGAAATAACTGCTTCTTTAAAGAAGTGTGAGTCCACTCGATGGTCCAAAATCTTGTAAAGATCTTCTTTATATGATTTGATACGTCTAATAAAAGACACAGATGGTCAGAGTTGGAAGACAGTACAAAGTAGAACAACAAATACATACTTGCTTAATATGTCTGACTTGAACATGGTGGGCCACCCACGTTCTTTTCCATAAGGAAGCAGGTTGCGCTCAATATTATGCAATTCACATGTTGATGCTATTTCATGATGCTATCAAGGTATTTAATTAGATACAAAAGGTGGATCTTCAATGCGGATAATTTGAATATGCTTACTGGAAGTATTACCGCATCTGGATTATTAGGAAGCGGCCTTTTCTTAGCGTGAGGCTTGGCAAGCTGAAGACGAATCATCTCTTTGAGTTTTTCAGATGGGTTCTTAGGGAGAGGTTCATCGCAGAGTGGGCATGGAGTTTCATTGCCCCAAAAGTTATCAAAGTCACTATCGGATGTGTCGTCATGTGATTCGATGTGTGAGATCTGATCATCTGTGTCAGAGCGAGAATTGGGATTGGCTTCATCCACAACTTTCAGGTGTTCGGTCTCCGTATTTGAAAGAGATCTGCTGCCCCCAGTTCCTGCGTCAAGCTTAGCTTCAGGTGCCACTTCTCCATCTGTCAGCTTTCCAGGGCAACGGTCAACACAATGGCTTTCTGAACGGCACTGGCTACATCTGTAAACTCGTTTCTTCTTCTCCACAGGGGATTGATCAGGCATCGGATGACGAGTCAAAGCTTGTGCCAAAGCTGGAGTACAGTTGTTGGCTCGATGACCACGGCCTTTACATGTTGTACATGTGTAGTTCCGTTGGTTTTGCTTGTTAAGGATCTCGATGTCAGGACGGTAGCGTGCATTAGTTTTCTTAGGCCGTTTTTTTGGAGAATCGAGGGTTGGCCGTCCTCGGCCATTAGTTCGCACCTCAGGATTTGTGATCATCACAAGTGCAAAGCGGTTTGTCTCAAGCATTTCAATCTCGCGGTGAACTTTGCGAAGCTGATGTTCGGGTAGCTCAGATAAGGTGTTGATTTTTCGTTTCATTGAGTTCTTTAGATCATTAAAGGTTGTAGGTTTTGTATTCATACCTAATCTCCACTGAGGATGGAACATATCAGCCGAAAGGCAAGGTGTATTGACCAAAGCGTCAGCCATCTCATGTGAGCATGGCATACCCCAAGCTCCACGAAACAATCCGGTGCACGGCCTGGTTCCGCTGTCTGGCATGAGTAAAAATTGATCCTTGACTTTGCGAAGTGCAAAATGTGAAATCTTCATATGTAGTTGAGAGAAGCATTGAGGCATTCCATTGATTGTCTTGTTCCTTTCAATACCTTCCAACTCAACATACTGGCTGACTCGATGTTCGAGAGCGTGATCAATTGAATTGAAACAAGAGAGAAAATCTTGCATGCTGTCGGGTATGAAGTCTTTGAGTTCTGAATGGGCTCCTTCAACTCGTGATGTACTTGAATTCCCGAAGTGCACTTGCTTAGAGGTAAACATAGCGACAAACTTGTGACTCAGCTTGATCCAAGTGTTGTTCAGATAATTGTAAAATCCAAACTTTTTCGCAATGATTGTTACTTCGGCAAGGTTTTGATCATACTCGGATTGAGTTAATGATGAACAAAATGAATTCCAAGTCTTCATGAAAGCTTCCCACTCAGCAGTGTCAACCTTTCCTTGAGACGTCTTTACATAACTTCTACAGTTCTTCAGGAGGTTCTGGTTGATGTGCCAGATACAGAGAAGGTGATGGGAATCAGGGAATACAGACTCGATAGCCTTGATGAGGGCCCATTCGCAATCAGTGAAAAAAGTTGATGGTATAATTGGCTGATCGGAGCTGAAAACAACCTCTCGGAGCTGTGTAAGGGCCCATTCATAAGACTTTTCAGATTCGTCTGACATGAACACAAGAGCCAGTGTGAACAAGCGATGGGTGTTTGTTGTTCCCACTACATGCAGCAGGGGAAAATTGAACTGATTGGTCTTGTACGTGCTGTCTAAGCCGATGACTGCTGGAAAGCGTTGTCCAAGTTTTATGCCATCTGGACTAGCAAAGAAGAAATTCAGAATTTTGCCATCAGAGTCCGTCTGTGATCGTGAGGCCCATCCTTTCTTGTCAATCAGGTCGAGAAGCCCCTGCATTGGTGTCCTCCCTGACAGCCACCGGTCACGATGCTGGTACCGTATGTTGTTGATATCACGGATTAGAGGAGTGAATGAAGAGGTATCACGAGCAAGTATTTGTCTAATTTGTCTAGGTCGTAAGCCAGCATCGGAGAGAATGCAGATTTCCTTTTGTTGTTCTGCCGTAGGTTTTCGATATTGTGACAAGTTCTCGGCCCATATGAATGGTTCATGGTTATGATGATGGCTTTCTGGATGCTCCTTATTCATTGTAGTTCGCCAAGTCTGTGTGCTTTTCCAGTAGTTCAGCGAGATCATAAATTGACATTCAGTCTTGATGGTTGAGGTTTTTCGAACCGTGGCTTCAGATTGATGTGACCCAGCTCGAGAGCACGCAAGGTAGATCCGAACCGTGTTGCTTGACTTATTGATGTTGGGCTTAGTCTTGTGACTTGTGACTGCTAGCCCATATCCCTGATGTCGTGCTACAGTTTTCATATACATCAAACCATGGTCCATTGACTGAAACTGCTTTCCAACAATTGGAGCTTGACATAATCGCACAGGAGGAGCACCTAACATACATGTGGTCAGCTGTAGTATCTATGTAAGGAAAGAGGAGCAAAAACTCACCTTCAACCGGCCAATCATTGTCCCTTGGATATAATTCTTCGACCAAGACTGGATCTCCTTCATTTAATTCAATCTGAGTCTCTGAGTCCGTGTCCCCTTCAGCATCTTGATCTAAATCTTCAAACTGAGTGACTGAGGTCTGAACTGGATGGTTAGGTAAAGGATACTGGTGAGGATGTCCAGACAAGTTTGTTGATTGAGGTGATTGATTCGTGACCAGTTGCAAAGGAAGTTGGCTTTGGGGGTAGAAATGAGGTGCTAATGGATTCAATGGCCAACCTGGATGCATCTGAGTGTAGACTGGAGCTGAGAAGGGGTAGGAAACTAATGGAAACCCATAGACATTGAATGGTTCAGGTTGCAAAGGCTGTGACGAGTATGTAGGTGGATAAGGCAAATAAGGTGTATTCATATAGTAGCTGACTGGTAGATGTGGTGGAACTTGTTGAAAGGAGTGGCTATACAGGTTAGAGGTTGGATATATTGGCGGAAGGGTTCTTCGTGGATATTGTTGAAAACTTTGATTGTTGGCATGAACATCCGGCATGATGAAAGGTGTTGATGGGTGCATTGCGGAGCTTTGGCAGATGGAAGACTGGGGAAGAAGAAGATTTGAGTTTGAATGAGTGGGATACAGATATTTCAAAAAAGATGTCAACAGAGTTTAAGTCTTACCTTACCAAAAAAAGTCTCGAGAAAAAGTTGACACACTTGTCGATGAAAACCTTTGGCACGGTGAGGGTATTACTGAAGGAGTGTTAATGTGTTCAAGCCATTTCGAGCAGTTTCCTACGCGTACGGAAGTACCGAAAGGAAAGAGTCTTAAAGCAGTTTCCTAGGCGCACAGAAGTACTAAAGGAAAGAGTTCAAACAGCAATAACTTTTAAGAATGAACCCAGAAAGTAGTAGTTATACCTGCTACGTCAGGTCGGTGTTCGAACCATGGTTGAGGGATCCTTTTTGCTTATATCAGAATATCCGCCAACTCGGTGCTTGGAAAGGGCGCAATACACCGGATAGTCACGGATGACATCTTCCCACAGTCTCATTGCGGTGGAGACTTCTTAATCTCTCACCCAAATCGACTGGTTTGGAGAATACAGGGGCTGTATTCAAGACCGCCCGCTTTATTCACTAGAACTCGAAATCAGCTCTCTGGACCGCCCCCTACGTGAGATAGGCAATATTTTGAATTGAAATACAGGTAAAAGGGGGCGGTCAATCCTCACAAGGGGGGGCTGGATTTAGTAAAATCCTTATCTTAAACTTTTTTCTTCTTAACTTTCTAATTAACTTTCTTCTTATTTCTTGATACTTGAATTTCGACGTAGACTGTTGACCTTGATATAGACCTTGCAATATATTAGGACCTCGTGAAGTGGTGATCAAGAGTCTATGAGGAAAGGTGCCATGAGATTGTAATGAGATTGCAACGTGAGGTTTGGGAAAATCTCTGACAGGCACAGTATAGTCTCGAGTAGGACTCAGTACAAGCATAGCCTAATAGTGGCTCATAACAGTGTATTTCTTTTTCAGCTTTGGTGATCCGCTCAGTGTCGAAGAAGGTGGCTTTAAACGATTCAATAAATTTGTTCCAGGTAACAAGACACATCTTTTCGGAGTCTAGGAGTTGATCTGTGAGAGATTGACCCCATAAACTCACCTTTCCATCCATGTAAGATAACGCAAAAGCAACCTGCGCCTGTTCAACAATGAATGAAGCAGCGTTCATTTGCATATAGAGGCTGACTTGATTCATGAACACTTTTGCTTTCTGACCTTTTGCTCCGTCAAACTTGTTTGGGGTTGCTATCTTTGGCGCTTTGATCTGAGGTACAGGACGTTTGGGCACAGGCATAGTCGGATGCAGAAGAGTCAAGGTTGTGGCGGTACTTTTGTGCATCGTGGTATTATTCTGCTTGATGCGTTGCTTCAACTCTAGCCATTGCTGCTCAGCCTCCTGCCGCATCCTACTCTCTTCTATTAATCTTTTAAAGCAATGACTCCTACCTGGCAGTCCTATCTCACATTGAGTTTTAGTATTTGTGATTACCTTCTTGTTCTTTTTGTTTCCTAAGACAGTCATGCATCAATAGAATTTATTTACGTGCTGTGGTTTGCGGTCTCAGCACAGTCATGTACTCACCACTACCATTTGTATCCCCTGATAGTCAAGATGTAATGTAATGTCAGAGAGACTGAACAATCTCCTACTTATTATGCCATAACCAATGCATGTACTAAGCCTGGAAGTAAATGAAGCCCACGATGCATAGATCAGCAAGCGCGGACACCAATCATTTGAGATTGCCTCCTCACACAATTGTTGCCATGTGATGTACCTTTGGCAAACTTTACAAAAGATCCACAATTCAACCATTTTCTGTCGAGCCAGTACTTCAATCAACTAAAAATCTGTTTAGTCAATTAGTAGAACAAGTTTTTTTTAACTCTCAAATTAGCTAGCCATCTAATCCAAAAAATGAAAAATCAAATTTTATTCACAAGATAGTTTCAAGTTCTCTTTTAACAAAATGGGCCATCACCATAGCAAAGGCGGTCTAAGAGAGGAGTAAAGATCAGTCATCATATCCAGGTATACAAAGTTTTGATGAAATTTCCTCACTTTTGCATTGTACTGTGTAAGACTGGACCTTTGTAAATTTGATTTGATAATGAGTTCGGGAATAATGATAGAGGGTGAATGATCAAAGGTCCAAGTTATGAAACAAAAGAATGAATAAGATTTGAAGATCAGAATACCAATCACAAAAATCATTGATCTAGTTGCACTTACATATTTGATCTACAAAACTGTCCTCCATGCTGTTCAGAGGAATAAATCAGAGCAAGTCAAAAGCAGTGGGTTGAGGTTTTAGAGATACTCACACTACGCCAAATCAATAATATACCATGGAGTTTAGAAAAGTCAAGATGTAGAAAATTTTCAGCAATGCATGAGAGGTAGGAAAAATTTGAAAAAATTCTGGTTGAATCAGTCTGTGATTTCCCATCATTTTGCATGTTTTTTCATATTTTTACCTTGAGTTTTGAAGATGTTCCATAGAAAAATGATCTTGGGTGTATTTGGTCAGAAACTCAAATTTTGTCCAAAACTACCCAGGCTTGGGCAGAAACTTTTCAACAATCACAAATACAACAATTTTCTTTTGATCAATTTGGCAGTTGCACATTATGAAAGCCACATACTGGATCTACAGTTTTCATTTGGATGCTGAAACCCTTGTGGAACAGATTTCTAAGCTTTTCTAGCTTTGCTGTTGGGGACGGTGATTGCTGTACCTTCTTCATTTTTGGACACACACCATTCATTCTAATGTGTATCTGGTGAATTAAACATGTAGCTTGCAGAATGGGCAGACATTCCAGATTTTCACACAAATTTGACAATCTTATTGGTCTCACAGGGTTAATGTCTCCATGACTGCCAGTTTTGGACATAAACTGAGTTTCTGACCTGATATACACTGCTGCCGTAAAAATCTGTAAAAATATGCAAAATATTGGGCACACACAGGGGAATGCAACCCTTATTTTTTCCATAGTTTTTTGACCCCTTCTGCCTTGTGTATAATTTTCTATGTCTTTTCAGTTTTCTAAACTCAGCGGTAAATTTGCAATCTGGTGTAGTGTCAACAGATTTGGCAACCTAGGTCCTTAAAGATGATCTCATCAGCATCTGAAATATTGTAATCCGATAACACTTTTTGATCATCATTGAGAACTTTTTTATTGACCGTAGTAAGTCGCTGATGATTTAAATCAAGCTAAATGAAATCATTCATCAAAAAAAACAGATCAATCAGATTGAAGGGATACTAAAGAACCAATCAATAAATTGACTCCCACCTTTGTAGATTTCTTGATGATAGACTTGAGGTCTTGAACAGTCAGCGAATCAAGAGATCAATTTTCATTCAATTTGGATTTGAATGAGTTGTAACCTCTTGAACAAGACTTGATGGCTAGCAAGACCATTGAATGAGATGATGATTGAGTTCAAGTAATATGTTTTAGTTGTATCACTCTGAAAATGAATATTGAAGAGACAGAAGTGAAAAAAAGGTTATCCTACTGGGGTAAATCTGAATAGTGACAGCAGAATACACAAGGACACCATTTCAGTCTGAGTCTCACCGCACAGTCAGCCAATAGTCATGCGAGCTTACTGACCACGCCCTCAGCCACCAGATTCTGATCTCATTTTGATTGTCAGTACGCCGTATGGAATGCCAGTTTGTAGCTCAGAGCCCGACAATACAGCAAACCAATCGGCTTTACTGAAAACCACAAAGAAGAAGCAGTAGTGACCCAGATATGAACTTAAGAAACAATAGGAAATGTTCAGTCGCATGTCAGCTCCATCAATCAATTTACGCTTATCAGCCTTCCACTTACAAAGATCTTACGCCTTTGCAAAGGCAATGAAGTCCTAAAACCTTAGGATGAGCAAAATCAACACCAGCAGGCAATATGCGTGAGTAATAAGCTGTGTGAGAGGGCAGTGGGGGACTCACTATCACAATATAACACCTGGCAAGCTCGGTGAAGTCTTTGATTCAGTTCTCACTTGTATGGTTTCATGAAAATGAGCAAGATGTTTGAAGGGTGGAGTACGATACGGGTGAGTTGGCGATCTGAGCATTGGGGATGAAGGTTGACAGACGAATGGGTGGCGACTCGACTATTGAGTCAAGAACTATTGTTGGGTTCAGGAGTGGAAACTTTGTTGTGTTATCGAGAGCCAAACCAAGGATCATGCACTTGAAGAGCTATAGCCAAGTGGTTGGGCAATTGCCAGGGTAAGGATGAGGTCACGGTTTGGATGATCAGATGTTATAATGTTTTGATAAGGAGGAATGAAGACAATGCAAGTGGTTGGTGGTAAGAGATCAAACCTGGGGTTGTGGGTAACTTGAAAGGGGGTAGGTTGGTGCTGCAAGCAATGATGTTTGTTCACTGGAGGCATCAGGTATCAATTCCGTACGGTTATGACCTGGTGGATGGCCGCGAGTTGGGTAAATATGGTAAGGTCATCCGCCTCAGGTGAATGGTGATGAGCAGGAAGGATTGATGGAGATGAGTGATGGTGAAACATGTGGGGTGGGTGGGCATTAATTTGTGTGGACGCGTAAACCCTCAATTTGTAGTAGGGATTGGAGGTTTAATCGAGTTTTGCCGTCGAACGAGGTTCACCCTTAACTTGAATGATGATCTATAACATAAAATCACGACCGAAGACAACCGTCTCCAGCTTCCAATCCTCACTTCCAATTCCATGCCACAAAACCGCTTCATTTCTAACAAAGGCAACGGTTCCCAGCTCTAAATTCTGGCTTCCGAAACCATGCCATAAATCTCTTTTTTTCTAACTCACCGCCCTGAATATTACTTCATAGTCCAACTCACTTCCCTCGCAACAGACCCTAACAAGCTACGCTAATCTACATTACATACACACTTACTCACCACTGGCCCCGCCACACGGACAATACATGGAAGGGTTTCATCACTTCGGACCCGCTCTGTTACGTCATACGTGGACTCCATGACTCAGCCCAATCTTTGTCAACAAGTAGCTGTCGCTATCACACAATCAACGTACCACCGCCCTGGCCAAGTCGATACGTGAGCTTACGCATTAGCCATCTGTCACTACTACGTTCGCCAAGGTCCGCCGTAGCCAGCTCCATTTTCGCGCTCAGTAATATTCCCAAACAAACCGGTCCAACAAGACTTTTCGCCCACTAACGTTTTGTTTCACTTCACATCAACACCGTCCGAATTTTCGCCTTCTCCCTTTAGCGGTCTCCATGTCTATGCTGGTTGATCCAGGTCACATCCCAATTACGGTTCAATCGCTGGGCACAGACCATTAAACAGCCATTACTTGCCAATCGCCACCTCACAAGACTATTTCTTGTTCTTATAAATACTATCAACTATTAGCTCGAATTCGATTAATTCATCCCAACACGAATCTTGATAACTTCAACCACTTGTGATAGTTCCAGCTCAATTTCTCTTTGAGTAGTTTCATTTCAAGCGACGTCCTCAAGAAGTTAAAAACACATCGCTTTGTCGACCACATCACACTTCCGCCTATTCCATTATACGAACCTTTTCCAACAACAATAAACTACTCGACAATCTACTTCCCGCACCTATTTTGTCAGACAGATTCAAGGCTGAATTCAATTCAACTTTCTACATTGATTCAATCGACCAACCTCACTTCTCCCACATTGACCCTGCACTCAAATACTTCAAGCTTGACTCATCATGTCCAAAGTCATGACCAAGAACATGTCAAACGCGCCTGTCAAAAAGTCACACTCATTTATGGTTTCTAGTGTATTCGAAGTCTCTGAGATAGTCAGTTCTATTTCTCTGCTTGGCTCCACACGGCATTAACAATCCAAACTCTTTCCCAGCTTCCTCCCGCAGATAGCAGAAACTATACTTACCGAGGTACCACTGTGGCTCTTACCTGCAGTGGTTGGGACGGTGACAATGAGCGCGAGTACGACGGCGACTTGATTGCATACTGTAGTTCCATGGAAGTTCCCTTGGAAAATCACTGCTATGCGATCAAGGCCAAAATGATACCCAGCACGGAATCAGCCGACTACAAATTATATTTTGAAGCCGATCACAAAATTCTCGTAGGAACTTCTGACACATTCGCTGGAGAACTTCACAACAACGCCGCTGCCTCCGGCTTCGGAACCGTCTCCTCACAACGCGAATTGCCCGAACCCAATACCGAAGACGCCACATTGGCTTTCACCATGAACCACGCGGACTACAATCCTCAAGTAAGCAGTCTCTTCTATCCTTTAATTCCTACCAGCCATTCTCGATCCTCGAACTAACAAATCTGCCACCAGCTCCGCGAAAGCGTTGAATTCGAAGTCAAGTATTGTATTTGTCCAACCGTGAAGATGAAGGCATCCCAAGTTCTGATTCAGGATGGCAAAGAGACGTTAGTACACGGATTCATTGTCGACTGGGACAATGACAACAACCGTTGGATTGTGGAGGTGAGTACTTCAACAGTGATCCACGCATTTGGTGGAACTAATTGCATATTCCGGGTAGGTCACATCGTTGAACGTAGCGAGTGGGCACGAAACGACCAACAAGAAGCGCCAGGCTGCCGGGACCAAGGTCACGCCTACTGGCAGAGTCCGTCCCGCTAAGTATGTTCGCCCACTTCAATACGAGTGGAATAACATTAGCTAACAAGTCTAACACGCCAGGCACATAAATACCTCCAGTCCTACCACGTCCACCCCGCCAACCAAGACTTCGGGATCCGCTGGGAAAGGCAAGAAGCGACCAGACCCGCCTCCCAAGGAGGGATACTTCGATGACGACGGTAACGTAGTCATGAAGCCCCCCGAAGCGCCTGAGCCCGGTCCCAGTGCCCCCAAGCGCGCTCCCGCTGGCCGTACTGCAAAGAAGTCAAAGGGCGCTTAGCCCGGCGCAGTTCTATTTGTCTCTCACTGTATTATGTTCGCACTCGATGTAGCCGGGCGACGCCAGTTGTATGTTATTGACCACACTCCATTGATCGTAATCCTAAGCTTTGCGCCTGTAACTCTGGTTGTTTGACTTCCCATCCACTTTGCCTGAACCGGCCCAAGCACGTAGTGAATTTGAATATAGCTGGTCCATTTCAAAGCTCGCTGTGAGAATCAATTGGCTCGAGGAGAGACAAAACTGCTCAAGCCATTCCCTTCCTGGCCCTTGACACATCTTTATCACTAGCCTCAGAGCCAATTATTTGCCAGCGAATATCTGATCGTCTTTGACCACTTCCATTTTACAAAGTCAAAGAACAAACACTACAACTTCTTTAGGATCATGAGTAGCGACGGCGACTCCATCCATTCACAATCGGAAGATGAAGAAGTGATCACCGGACTTGGCCTAGCCTCTTCGACGCTTCCGGAAACCTCAGAACGGAGCATTTTGGCTAGATTTCGAAGTCAAATTCCATACGACGTCGGCAAATGTGATGATCCTTGTGCTACCTGTGGGGCTTTGCACTGGAAACTTGAGCGGACTCAGAAGACAATGTCGTCTCCTTCGGTCACCTACTTGACATGCTGCCAACAAGGAGCGGTAGGACTTCCAAGTGATCATTTGGAGAACGGCTTGACGCCTCCATTCCTTCGCCGTCTATTCACGGACCAAGACCAAAGTGAGTCCCAACGTAGTCAGATTCGCGAATATTACTGACTGCGGCCATTCAGTGTCCAAGAATTTCAGGCGGAACATTTGCTCTTTCAATAACGCGGTTTCTTTTACCTCGACGGCTTCAAAACCGGACAAGACGGTTTTGGGAAACAGTGGAGCATGGACATATCGTATTAAAGGCTCACTCACTCATTTGATTGGTTCCCTCCTCCCAATCGAAGGCGCCGTCAAGACATTTGGACAGATGTTCATCTTTGGCGACCAAGCCGAGGAGGAACTCTCACTGCGCAAGCCAGAAAACTCAGGCATGAATATACAAACACTCGCCACAATTCAAGCTTTTCTATATCTCAATAATCCATTTGCAAAGGTGTACAAGGCAGCAGAGGCGATCCTGGCGCCAGGCCAAGTCAAGACGATCAAGATCAAATCCCTCCAGCGCCATGGGCGGAACGTCAGTAGATATAATTACCCAACTTGCAGTCAGGTCGCGGCGATACTGCCGGGCGATGGTTTGGTCGGCTCAAAGGACCGTGATATCATCTTGCATCGGCAGTCAGGAGAATTGCAGCGGATTTCTGAGCTCAACACGAATTATTTTTCGCTCCGATATCCACTCTTCTTTATGTACAGCTCGCACGGCTGGGACGAGCATTATCGACATTACACTGAGAAGCGTAAGTTCATTACCAAGTCAATTCATTTCTCAACGCTGACACTCCATTATAGGTCTCTCTGGGAAAGTCACTGCGCTCGAGTGGTTTGCCTACACTCTGTTTCAGCGACGCGACGTGTTCTCAGCAGTCTTGAGAGGTGGAAGGTTATTTCAGGAGTATTTGGTGGACATGTATGTCTGTATTGAAAACGCAAGGCTCAAATACATTAGCAAGAATCAACCAAAACTCAGAGCAGAGCTTTACAACGGTGCCACTGAGGCTCTGAACAACCAAGACTCGACGATTGGACGTGCGATAATCCTACCAGCAACATTCATCGGCGGGCCGCGGCACATGCACCAGCTTTACCAAGACGCGATGGCTTTAGTGAAGACTTTCGGCCGGCCGAGCCTCTTTATTACGATGACAGCCAACACGCACTGGGAGGAAATCACACGCACGCTGTTCAAAGGTCAATTACCTGAGGATTGTCCGGACTTGATTGCGCGGGTTTATCACATGAAGCTGAAGGAGCTCCATTGAGACGTGATGAAGAGAATGAGATTGGGTGTATGCATCTCAGACGTACACACAGTCGAATTTCAGAAGCGCGGATCTCCTCATACGCATAATATTTTGATACTCGATAGAAAATCTACACCCAAAACTGCGGAAGATGTTGATTTACTTGTGCGGGCTACAATTCCCGACCCAATTACTGAGCCGTTATTATATGAACTGGTTACTGAAAATATGGTTCATGGCCCATGTGGAGAAGGAAGAAGCTGTTGGAATGGGACGAAATGCAAGTATGGCTTCCCACAACCCTTTCAAGAGACGACCGTCATGACTGAGGGCGCTTATCCAAAGTACAAGCGACCGGACAACGGGGTGTCATTCATCAAAAATGGACGCGTGTATACAAACCGTGATGTGGTTCCATACAATCCATTTCTTCTACTTAAATTCCGCTGCCACATAAATGTCGAGATAGCTGTAAGCATGAAGGCAGTCAAGTATTTATACAAGTACATAGCTAAGGGGCACGATCGACAGGATCTGAGTCTGGAGACTGAAAATGAGCCGACGGACTATGTTGATGCGCGGTGCCTGGGCGCAGCAGAAGGTGAGCGTGTAGTCGTACCTCATGGAGAGATTCTTGCTGACTTTTGAATTAGCTGCTTGGAGGTTGCTCAAGTATTCGCTGTCTGGACGTCATCCGGCTATAACACGTCTGACACTGCATGACGAACATAACCAAATGGTGTACTTTCGCAATCGAGATGGACTTCGTGCTGCACTGGATTCGGGACGAGCAACAAGGACAACACTATCGGAGTATATGAGGTTATGCGCAGAAAACGTTAGGATAGATCGTACATTTCTAACTGCGCGCGCGCTCCTGTATACCGACATGACCAAGTACTTTTGGTGGAACAAATCCGACAAAGAGTGGTCAAGAAGAGTCAAGGATTCAGCCACTGTGGCGCGATTGTACTTTGCGAAGCCGGGCCATGGTGATTGGTATTACTTACGTCTTCTTTTAACCTCGACACGCGGTGCTAAGTCATTTCAATATTTGAGGACAGTAAACGGGATGCTCTACTCGACTTATCGAGCAGCGGCCAACGCGCGTGGTCTGCTGTTGAGCGACGCTCATTATGACACCTGCCTGACAGAAGCGGCCGACTTTAAAACCGGAGGACAACTTCGAGACATGTTTGCCATACTCCTGGTTCACAGTCCTCCCGCAGACCCGCAAGCACTCTGGGACAAACACTCAGACAATTTAATAGATGATTGCCAGTACAGGTTAGCTTTGACATTGCCATTAATAACTCCTAGCAACACTCAGCTTGAGCACTATGGTCTTTCCCTTCTCGAGGATACTTTGATAGATATGGGTTCCTCACTACTCGCAGTGGGGCTTGAACCTGTCGATTGGGAGCTGTTACGGCCCCTAGGGATCACACGAGACGACGCTTCTATTGATGGCGTCACGGTAGAAGAAAGCGAAGAGTTCTTGAACAATGCAGTTCCGAAACTAACCCACGAGCAGAGGTTCGTATACAACTCTGTCATTGGGAGGATCAAAGCAGGATCTGGCGGTGTGATGTTTGTAGATGGGCCAGGCGGTTGCGGTAAAACTTTTTTACTCAACACATGTCTTCACTACTGCAACGCAAATGGCCATGGATTCGTCTCCGTCGCGTCCTCCGGAATCGCGGCTCTTCTTTTACTGGAAGGGGCAACGGCGCACTCAATGTTGATGATCCCGTTGAACGCGACGGAGGAATCAACTTGTAACTTCTCTCCATCGACAGCGAAGGGCCGTCACCTCCTAATGACGGGGTTCATCGTCTGGGATGAAATCTCAATGATGAACAAGAATTTGATTGAGTGTGTGGACCGGTCGCTTAGGGATTTAAGAGGCGTGGATAGGCCATTTGGAGGAATCACCATACTGTTCTCGGGGGACTTCAGACAGATATTGCCAGTAGTCCCTCACGGAGGCGTCATGGACTGTGTAAGAGTATGCCTCAAATACTCTTACCTCTGGCCGGAAACCAAGGAATTTGAACTCACGGTCAACATGCGCCTTCGAGGAGGATTAGACGAGGAGCAAGAAGGGTCGGACCGAGGCGAATTTGCCAAGTGGCTTCTAAGGCTTGGCTCAGGTGAACTTCAGAGCAGAACGCATGAGAAAATCAAGTTGGAACACATGGATTGTACAAGCGTCAAGCCAAGTAACAACCTTGTGTCGTCTCAAATCCGGAACTTCTATGCAGCAACTAACAATCTGTTACGTCGGGGAGCATGGGAACAACTAGCGCTCTATTACGGTTCAAGGGCGATCATCACGCCGCTGAATCAGACAGTTGACAGGCTAAATACCTCGGTAATCGACGCTATTGACGGCGAACTGAAGACTTATGATTCAATGGACCATATCGATCAAGATAATGAAGAGCACGTCACAGCGGATATTCTGAATAGCTTTGACTTTCCTGGCTTCCCACACCACACTCTCAAGCTCAAGGTGAGTTGCGTCGTTGTCTTACTGAGGAACTTGAATTTCGCGACCGGACTGTGCAACGGGACAAGGCTCTTGATTACCGCCGCGTCTCAGCATGCGTTGCAGTGTTTAATTGTGAACGGCCCAAGGAGTGGCATGAGTATCTCGCTCCCAATGATGGCACTGCTTCACCCAGGTAACAAAGCGGCGCCTATTTCATTTTATCGTTTCCAATTCCCAGTCTCACTAGCTTTCGCATTAACCATCAACAAATCGCAAGGCCAAACGTTGAACAAAGTGTGTCTGGTGCTCCCCACGCCGGTCTTTGCGCACGGTCAGTTGTATGTGGGTTTGTCAAGATGCACTTCCGCTGCGGGTACAAGCGTTGTGGTAACTGAAACGGAGCGTGAACTGTCCACGCTTAATGTGGTTTACCGCGGTTTGTTATTGAGAGAATAACACGCGGAATTTGTTGCTTGTGTTGATAATGTAAGATTGTGAATAGACTACTGTAATAGCTGCAGCGAATTGCGCCGAGATGTCAAAAGAGATTTCAAATTGTACATGAATAAATGAGGACGCAGAATTCCAATGATCATCGAGTATCAATTACGATGAGACCTCCAAGTGAACCACTTGCCAACAAATATGTCAAGTCGCACAATACGCGTTCCTAAGGGAATGCTCCGTTTGCAGGGCCTGGAAGAATGTAAGAGGCCTGAGGGTAGACGTCAGCAGCGCCCGTCAAGGAGTGGTCATCGTACTTACTCGAATGCTCCACAGTGCCGAATCCTGAGCATGAGAAACGATGGAGCCTACGAGCGACAAGACACGTCCTTTATGGAAGGTGCCCGGGGGTGAGTCGGTCATAATCCGTAAGCTGACAATGTACCTCATGTTGAAGGTATGATGTCGTCGTTCCTGGAGGGAAGTCAGTAACGGTCTATGTCTGGGAGCCATTGAATTCTCACGTTTGGTTCGTAGTCACAATGCGAGAGAACTACATCCCAATGTGATTTGTTGGCAGAGAGATTACAAGAAACAATGCTCCCCACGGATGAGACGTGTATATCATTGATGTTACTGGTATTGACTTGCGGGTTGGTGAACACTTGGGCGAATTCGTTTGCGTCGACGTGAAGGACGGGTTCTCGAGGGTAAGGGAGAAGTATAATGTTGCCACGGAGAGCGAAGGCCAGTTGAGGACCCAAAACGTATTGGCCATAAGGCTCACAGACAATCACGGTTGTAGCATGGAGGGAACTAGGCATGTCAACCAAGTGGGTCCAGAAGCGTCGCGCAGAGTAGCAGTGATCACGACGCGGTTCTTCGACCTAGAACAGTGTCAGTTGAGTCCTACCTCGAAGAAGGCCATGACTTACAAGCTCTCCTAAGACGAATATACCGTCGAGGATCACAGGGAGTCGTTGATGGGCGTGAGCCATGTTGTGTAATGCGACAAGGAGTGAACTTACGATGCGTCAAAATTGGGAACAATGTGGTCAAGTCGTGCACGTGGAGAGTCATAGCCGGCTGCGCGTCAACGACATACGATCCGTTCCTAAAACGGATGTAGCAGGTCAAGAATTAGGGCAACGGGATTTGCGCGCCTGGAGGGCATGGATCAGATGAGGACAACGTCTTCTACCGCATAATAGGAGCTGTTTGCGCTGGATAACGCATGGTGGCGTATGTGGATGGAGCAATTTGGGAATTGATGTCATTCATAAATATATTTCATTTAAAGGCGCTTGGAATGCGTGATGAGCATACATGGTTACAAGAGATTAACCAGGACAAGAACGTAGGGGTAGTACATGTCCTGAAATTCAGCCTCTATGACGGGATCAGGGCAGTCAGTTCGCAGGAAGTGAGTGTGAGCTGCATGACGTGATGTAGACTCACATATTGAGTTCGAGAGAGGCTTCTTCGCACAATCTCGACCTGAGAATAATATGTAGGTGAGGGGGACCACGGCGTTGGTGCTTGAGTACAATATGAAGTACACAGGAGTTAGGCGAAGTATAGGTGAAGTGAAGTGTGCGTCTGGTACACGGGACAAGTGTGCGTCTGATACACGGAATTGCTTTGGGCATCTTGGTGAGTATCTCTCAAACTGGGACGTGGTAGTGAAGCTATGTGAGCTAGTATATAATGTGACAAGAATGGTTCAGGATACTCACAAGTGTTGTGTTGATAGTAGGGTTAAGGTATTTTGATGGCTTGATTGTCAGTTGTCAAGTGCAACGATGCAAGTCACGGGCTTTTGTAGTGAATTGGTTGGATTTGGCGCCGTTGCGCGTCTATGGTTGACTGAACCACGCGGCTAAGCTGGATGGCGTGGAGGGAAGTGGCTTGTGACACACGTGGAGGCAAGAGCAGGTCAGTGGGTGAAGTCAAGCAATGAACTGGACACAGAGCGACCAGGGGAGGCGAAGTAGGTAAGTCTTACAGGATGTGTTAAACTAGGAATACGTAACCAGGCTGGTGTAACGGCTTGTGATAGTTCCGTGTGAAACAGTCTGGTACCAAGGGGAGACAACAATTGGACCGAAACAAGTGGAAGTCATTTGCCAGTTGTGTCTGATTAATGAAATTGCTAGGCGAGAAGAGGACTGTTCCGGTCATGAAAGTGATGAGCTGGTTTGGATTGCGGGTGCAGAAAGCGATCGGGGTCAGAACTGGCTGAGCCAGTCCGTTAAGAGGCAGGGATTCGGCCGCTGAATTCGATGAATTCATGGCGACGAGGGAGACTTCAGGCTGGTCGCGATTCACTGTAAAAAGGCCAAACTTGCTCACCTGGGACGGAGATGGAACAATTTTTGCAACTGTCGAATTTCAGATATCATTGTATTGATAGTGTAGACTTGCGGGCTGCTTACGACTGTACAACCTGACGTCTCATCTACCTCATCTTATTGAATCACGCTATGCAAGTCGGAACTGGTTTTCATCTCCCGTTACGTTTCTCCAGTGTGTTCTGGGTTGGAAGTCAGGTAAGCACCGAATAGTTTTTAGGGAGATTTATTTCTTACGACATTGTCTAGGTCATTTCCGATCAGGATGGTGCGGGGAGATTCAGGCTACACCATACGCATGTTGTGGTTTGTGATGCAACATTGAGGTCATATGGATTAATAATAGCCGGAAGAAGGAATTGGAGCAGGGTCCGCTCGAATGGATCTTATCGTCTCAAAGGAGAAGTGGTGCCTGGCGCGCCGGGTACCACAGACACTTTGTTCAAAGATGAATCAGGTACGATTTCAATGGACAACATAGCCGTGGATGTGCTTGAGTTGGCGAACAGAGTGTCGGTACAGAGTGTTGGTCAAATCGTCGACTGGTTTGGTAGACCTAGCCGTGCCGGCGGTTATGCAGACGAAGTGTGCACGGTGTTGCATAGGTATTGTAATCATGCAGTAAGTTTGTTTGTTTCAGGAAGGAAAGCTAGTACTGACTTCGTTCTCAGGAGGGTAGAGTAGTAGAATTCCGTGCAACATACGTCTTCGACACAAACGTTTCTTCGTCGCTGAGCATCGATGCGCTCAACCCTGGGAACATTGTGAACTTGAGGGGGAGTGTGGTTGCGTTCAACAGTGTGAGAAATCAATGGGAAATCAAAGTTAGTTGTTTTTGTCCTTGGATTGTGTCGTAAGGCCTGATGTTGACATGGAGTTCCCAGGTCTCACATGTGATTGTCGTAGGAAGGCGGAACAGGATTCGTAGGAGTAGAAGGCAACAGGGGTTAGCTGCTTTGAAATCGAGGCGCAGTGGGAGAAGAGGCAGGCGGACATGAGGTCACGTATGGTCAATGATTGTGTTTTGAGGTACATTTGTAACGATTGTGATTACTGTAGATAGTCTGGTTGCTGGAATGTAAAATTCATGTTGTAAAAGACGACCGGCAGGAGGCTTGAACGACGCGGATTTGCACTTCGTCGAGGATTGGACGGACACTGAGGGCGCATGGTGGCGCGCCTTTTCGAGTACAAGGGGCGGCGCAGCCGCCCAAGACCTCGTATGTAATGAAAACTTGAAATTAACTAGAAATTTGAATTAATTTTATTTATCAATTTTATTTTATTTTTCTAGACACTCATTTTATACCAATGAAAAATTGTCAACCGTATAATCCTCCTGGTGATAAAAAATCTACACAAAATTGTTCAAATTATCAGTGTAATGATGAATCACATTACTGTTAGTAATCTTGTTTTTTTTTGATTCATAAATTCAGATTCAATTTTTTTGGTTTTGTTCATTTAGCTTTAATACTTATTCTATTCTAATCATTCAAAAAATTTTAGCTTGTTGGAATGCATTGAATGATTTATTTACTTGTGAACATAAGTTTGGGGATAAACCAGTGATATGGATGTTTGAGTAATTCTTGAGTATTTAGTGAAGTTGATTGAATCTGATGAAAATCTTTTTGTTTATCTTTGGTCTTAAATTTGACTAGACAGCTTGCAATTGCTAAGTTAAATTCATTGCAATCACTTTACTTCGAAGATTGCATTTTTTAGAGCTTCAGGATAAATTATAGCAACGAGTTCTAGAATCCGTCTGTAGAGGGTTAACAAAGAACTCTGTAATAATACACTTCTGAATTTGCTACTATGTAGTACAGCATATCCTTTCTTATTGTTTATCATTCAACTTCAAGTCAAGCTTGTGCCCAAAAAGTGTTAGATCTTCAAAAAAGGACACAATCTCTGGAAAGGAATTGAACCTGATCAGCCAAAAGTTCAATACAAATGTGAAGGTTTCTTCTTGATAGTGAGACTTGACAAGATCCCATTTCATCCATCACTAAGATGCTGTGGAAAGTAATGGATTCAGAAAAGTTGTACGTACCACGAGCTTCCATCAGTTCTGACCCTTACCAAACCTCAGATTACACCAAACATACATGTGATAATGTTCATGGTCACGAAAAGAGCTTGCCAAGAATGGGTTCAAAGTATTCTTAAGACCACAGCCTGCCCCCTCAGAGAGTCCCTCGGGTGTTCGCAAGGGATGAACAAAATTGACAATTCAATTTGAGTGCAATTGACATGAAGAGAGAAAGATGATGTAGAGGGAATTGACTTCTTCTCAACCTTTTACTTCATGAACCTAGGGCAATATTGGCCACTGGAAATTAAAATTTCAACCCTTTACATCACCCACATCCCAAAAACAAAATTCTAGCTACTGATCACTAAATTACTAGGCCTAAATTTTCAAAATAAAATTGGAATATTGTTGGAATTGAGCGAAATCATCTTCGGTCGAAGATGGCCCAAATGCCACCGTCTTCCCAGATCCGTCTTCCCCACTGACCTGTAGCTGGGTAGGTGGCCTTTGGTGGCTTCCTTGTGTGTAGATAATTACTTGTATGTGGGACCCGCTCTTCTCGCTCGGAACGTACAGAATTGTACAAAGCTTTCAGCATGAGAGAAGTGGTGCAAAGAAGCTGAAACATGGCTAACTTGACTAAGTACCTCCTCGCGGGCGTCCTACGGAGCTTGCGGAGGAGGGACTTACGACTTATCAGTGTATTTCAGCGTGATTAGATTTGGATTTGGCGGGGGCTATCTCCAATCCTCAATTACGCATTCTCATGAAAGATGATCCCTCAATGTCTTCCATGCAATCTATAGAACAAAGAGTTCCCCATCTTTTGCCCTCTGCAGATTCTTCTCAAGAGGTTTTGAAGTCGAGGGTCCAAAGGAGCTCAAATAAATTTGGAATCTTGATTTTTATTTTATTTTTCTTTTTTCTTGCTGCGAAAACAGTTGTATTCAAGTTAAATCCAATTATAGACCCTCTCTACTGACCCATAGCCTAGACTGATTGAAATTTCAATTCAATTCATTGCGAGTCATTAATTTTCTTACACCTTGATCCCTCAAGTATACTCCAATACAATTTCAAATGGACAGCAGTACCGGAGGATCAGAAAGTAGCTTTCGACTTGATCCTGCGATTGGAAGTTTGCCGCCACCCACCCCTGGAGAACCGGATGATCTAGTCGAAAGGATTTGTCGATTTATGACCAAGCATCAAACGAGCACGAAAAAATTCCTCCTCTCTTATTTAACATCCAAAAACAGATACGTTGTCACCCGGAAGAAACAGTGGGGGTCTGTGAAGAAAGGTTGGAAGACTACCGAGGAAATCCTTGATGCAATCGACAAGCTTGTCAATGCAAAGCCAAAATGTCGAGAGAAATGGAATGATTGGGTGTTGAAGAAGGTACGCTGGAGTTTGTGATTTATATGAAATATGGAATATGAAACAGAAATCTGATCTACAATGTTATATATGTTCACAGGCCAAGGTGATTGTGGCAGCCCAGTCTCCACCGACTGGAAGTCTTTACATAAATATCAATAAACTTGATCAGACTTTCTTCGATCACAAGATGGATGTTGAAAGAGACGTCACCGTCATCCAAAGCATGAATTTCATTCACGAATTGATCAGTTTTAAACTGGGTCTTGATGTGAAGCCAGGATTGGAGTCGGATTCGGATTCCGACTCAGAATCAGACTCCAACTCCGAATCGCCAAAGGAATCTCAATCAGATAGTCCATTGGCTGAATCTTATGTTTATCACAAATCAACGGACAAGGCGGAAAATACAACATCTAGATTGAAAGCTGTAAGCTGTTTATACAAGGTCATGGTTCGACCAGCAGACTGACTCTAAGCTCTATATAACCTGTAGATTGCTCTGACAATGGTTCAAATGCTTGCGTTTGGATGTAATCGCCGATGCAATGCACTCCAGGTTCAAAATACCATTACTTTGCTCGCCTGCGGTGTTTCTGAACGAGTGAACCAGTATCTATATCAAATCGGTCTCAGTGCTTGTCGAAAATCGGCTCTACGAGGCCTTCTAGTACTCGCTAAGGAGAATGCAAAGACAATCAAGAAAAAAATAAAAGCTGCTGGTACATTTGGCTTCCTCATATGTATAGATAATCTCAATATGATGGAGCGAGTACATAGTAGGCGCTTAGATGCAACCAACAAAACTTATCATGGTACTTGGGGTTATATTCATTACCCAAACCCTGAAATGCTTACTAGTCTGAATGCTGAGGATTGTACGGTTCAGGCTTTCCAAGGTTTCCTCAAAGTCGACTGCGAAAAGCCGGTAAACTCTGGTGACTTACTTCCAAAAGAAGACGAAGCGAAGCGATGGAATTTAACTCTAAAGAATCAGATAGCTTGTGTTCTCTTACGATATCAGAAGAATCCAAAGAAGTTCAAAAAGATTCCACTGTTGAACCTTGTATCCATAGATCAAATCAAGCCAGAAAAACCTGACATCGACATGCTCAAGTTGATGGATTCATCGGACAATGGGTCTGATGGTATTGCTTCTCTTTATGACGAGCTGACTAAACAAACCGGTCTATCAGCTGAAGATTTCTCAAGTAGACTACAAATCATAGAAGGTGATCTAGGTACTTGTCTGAACTTTCACGGATTACAAAGCCAAAGGACTCCTTCGAAATTCCCAGAAGAAAGTCTATCGCATCTGCTCATGATTCCCGGTGCAGGCCACACGCTTTGGAACATTGGACAAGCAATTTTATTACATCATTGGGGGGATCCTGATAACAAGAACGATCGAGGAGCGTGGCGAACAGTCGTCAAGCTGGGTGGAAAGAGTGAAAAACCGACTTCAAAAAAAGATTTTACCTCAATGATCCGATGGATTGAGCAAATACATGAGGCAACTATCACAAGTTGCATCTTGTGAGTTGACTTGAACCTTTCAACTATATGATTAAGTATGATGACTGATGTGTATGTGATGTATATTTTCCAAGTGATGAACTTGATCTTCCTGTAGATACTGTCAATAATCACGTCGACATGTCGGTTGAGCTCTTTGAAGAAGCCATTGAGAAAGTGTTTGTTGCATACTTTTCGGGACGGGCAATCCGTCTTGCGCGTCAAGACAGTGATAGCCAGAGATTGCAGCTGTTACTGCGACTTTGCGACTTTGCCACAATCGTCGAAGCGAATCGTGCAATGTCAGATGGCGATGTGGGTCGCCTCCTCCTCATGTGGAAGTCTTGGAGTGTGAAGATGCAGGGAATCAAGGGCTTATCCCATTATTCCCGGTATCTCCCTCGACTGATTCGACTCCTCACAACCGTTCTTCCAAAGGCTCTTTCACATGTGATCCTCCACACCCTCTTGATCTCTCCAACCGGTCGACATGGACATTTTGTTGCAAAAGATTTTCATCTCGAAATCAAGAATTACTGGCTGAAGTATTTTTACAATCATGCGGTAGGTTTTATCATTTTTTCTTGTTTCCCAAGCTGACAAACCTTGGAATTGTTTGTTCTAGGGACCTGGAACAGACATTCAGCGATTGAAAGAGACCTTTTCTCTTACAGTGGGGCTGGTATGTATTTGATTATATTTCACAATAAAATACTCTTCCAACATTTCGATCGCATACAAATGTTAATTTGACATTACTTAGCTATCCCACTTGGTCAACACAATGAAAGGCCGAGCAGGTCAGAACAATATCCGACAAACACGTAAGAACCAGTCAACACCAAATTCCATGATTCGCTTCCTGAACATGGCCCGAAGCGAAAGAATCACCCAGTCTAGACCGAATTCAGTAACAGTAGGTAAACCACTAGCCGATATCCATCGCCTTGGTATCCAGAAGCTCAAAGCGGATTTTTGTAAGCAACAATTGGAGCGCTTCCACTGGCCTGTTGCTTCAAACTACAGTCAAGAAGAAGGCGAAAGTGAGGAATTAAATGAGAGCGATCTACGAAATGGCTTTGGAAGTATTGACAAAGACTTTGTTGATTGGTACAGTGAGGAATACAACTCACTTATTTTGGTAAGCCTCCTCTTTTGCATCAAGTTGATCGTATGGCACTTTATCCACCCTCAACCAGTCCAAACACCGCCAATTATATGCAGCTTTAAGAACGGTAGCTTCTTTATCGGCTTTGACCTGAGCTGAACTTCGTCTTTTTTTCTTGTTTGGTGCTGCAGGACCAGTCGGAGTAGGTGTGATGTTGGTCACTTCTGTTAACACTCGATTCACATCAGAAGTCGTTTTTGTCTCTAATAACTTGGCTTTCTTCTGTGAATATTCCAATGCTACCTCACGTGTCCTCCATTCTTCAATGTAATCAAAAACAACTTTAACACCTCCTTCAATTATATCGCCCCCCATGTTCTGCTCGATGTCCTGTTGATGTTTAATCTTGTCAAGTGAATTCACTATTGCTCTTGCCTCATCCAGTCCAAAATAGTCTTCACTTTCACAGCAATCATCTTCTCCGTAGACTTTGTTGTAATGCAACCGATAATTTAATACCAATTCATCAGCGAGTTCCTTCAAAGCTGGATGCAACGTGCCATTTCTTCTTTTTTGAAAAGTTTTTTTAGATGTCTCTGTACTATCACCAGTGTTTAATTCATTCTTCTTTGCCTCAATCTCTTCAGGCTTCAAAAACCCCTCAACACTGAAAGGATCTTCCATAGCCAACTTGTAATTTTTCTTTGTCAATCTAGGGAAGTTGCAGATTAGCATCTCAGCAGCTTTTGGCCTACAATTCGAGCACTTGCATGTTGGAAAACCTGCGGCTAATTCCCGTTTCTGTTCAGCAATCACTCGTGGATCATCTACACGACAGGGGATTGTTCCAATTCTGAATAAAAATATCAGCCTGGATTCATTCTTCACAATTGAGACAGACTCACGTGTTTCCAAGTGATAGTGCCACTCGTAGGCATATCGGGGTGAAAGCATACACATCCATGAGCTGATCATCAGTCATATCTTGGCTATCATCGACATCATCGACACAATTAGAACCACCTGTACGTATTCTTTCAACAAAGTGAACTACTAAACCTGGACTGTTCCCTCGTCCACATCTTCCAAATAGTTGAGTTAGCTCTGGAAGGGCTGTACGGGCCATCACAATAACCTCCATCACCGAAGGCCAATCTTGACCAAGGCCAAGAGCATTTGTACACGACATTAGAGGGAATTCATCATTTGTATAACCTGAGATTCTCCGAAGTTTCTCTTTCTTTCCAATACATGAATGATATCTTCGGATCAGGGTGCTGTCTGGATTGTGCTCGCCCAAAGGAGTTCCTCGAGCTTCATTCACTGCTTTCATTACATCCCAAGTAGCACCCCTGGTTGCTGAGTAAATAAGCGACTTAACTAACTCCTCGTCGGGGGCGTCATCTTTCTTGGCATAAAGATTTTTTAAATCCATGGCTTTCCGTAACCCGTGGTCCATTTGAACTCGAAGTATTGTGATGTTCGAACGACTCAGCTCGCCTCGCACGATCTTGAGATCAGCCTCCTGAATGCTCAAGTTCTTCAAAATCGCCGAAAAAGGCCTTGGTGCACAAGTCGCTGACATCAATAAAAGACACTACACCAAATGTAATCTTTACCGGGTGGTAAAGAAAACTACTGACATAGAAAAGTCCTGAGGCAACAGGAAGAGAGCTAAAAATCTGAAAAAATATGTACCTTGTTCCTAGATGTTGGGGCGTCATGATGAGTAATTTTTTGTATTTTACACGCAGATATTGGTTAATGTACTAACAATAAAGGCTGAAAATCATCAAAAACCCACCTGTAACAATACCTGAACCCTTGATTTTGTAGACAGGATTTTGAAATCTTCAAACATCAATAACTTTTGCAGTTCTGAATCAAATAACTCGATTTTTGGTTCATTGAAAAGGTGAGTCTTTCCTCTACATTTTTCATTGAGACACCACATCTGTAGCCCGTTTGAAGAAGGTCCTACGGAGCTATTCATGCAGAACTGTTTGGACATATGTAGAGCATTCAAATGACTAGATAGCACCTTGCTGACATTATGAAGTGTAAAGCAGAATGGTTCAGCTTTTGAATGAACCAAAAATCGAGTTATTTGGAGCAGAATTGCAAAAGTTATTGAAGTTTTTAGACCACAAAATATTGTCTTCATAATCATGACCCAAATTTCAGGTATTGTTACATGTGGGTTTTTGATGATTTTCAGCCTTTATTGTTAGTACATTAACCAATATCTGCGTGTAAAATACAAAAAGTTACTCATCATGACGCCCCAACATCTAGGAACAAGGTGCATATTTTTTCAGATTTTTAGCTCTCTTCCTGTTGCCTCAGGACTTTTCTATGTCAGTAGTTTTCTTTACCACCCGGTAAAGATTACATTTGGTGTAGTGAGAGGAATCTTGTTGGTTGCGAGTAGTCGGAGGCAAAGGTCTCCGTACGATGGCCGAAAGCTTCCTCCGTCCTGTAGGCGTGTGAATGCAGAACTATGTTTTGCTCGTCCGGTCTGAACCATCCCCCACCAGTAAATCATATGGGCTTCATCTATCACCTTCGCAATCAGACGGTCTTGAAATTTTGCGCTGAAATATATATGCTCAAAACGTTTGCTGTTCAAAAATATCTCAGGGCTCTTTGCTCAAATTTGACGCAGTTTTTACATCAGCTTGTGTAGGATCGAGTCTTTGTTGTTGGGAAATAATCCTCACCACATATATCACAGCGTATACACCAGCCATGATGTCCTTTTCAACATTGTCTGTAAAGCTATCCTTTGTCAAATTTACCGCGCTGATATTCCATTTCTTTTTCTCGACAACCTTCATCCAATCAAAGCATGGAATCAATAACATATATACAAATTGGTATTCTCGAAGAAACAGTAGTAAATTGCTTTCTTTACCTGGTTGTCGCCCAAAGCATCTAGTGGGTTGAAGACAATCAAATTAGCTTTTGACTCTTTGGCAAAGAGATCCAGAAACATCTCGGCAATTCGAGTTTTTCCATAGCCAGTGCCAGCCAATACAAATGTGTCGTAGCCCCTGACCAATGCAATTACTGCTTCTACTTGAAGTGCTTTAGCTCGGCAATTGTATCGCTTGTAATGATTGTTTTCAATCACCATTCCCAGTTCTTCATTGGTTGAAGCTAAGATGTTGTCTGGAAGAACAACTTTCGCATGAGTTTGCTTAGGAACAGCAGTCGAAGGCGTAGCCGCAAGGAGCTCTGTAGGTCGTCGGTTATTGATATTATAAGCACGCTTCTCAGGTGTAAGGTGGTTCACAGCTGAGCTACGGAGTGTTTTCTTTCTTGCAGAACCGAGAGTAGGTGGATCGGTCGTGGCCATCGCCCAAAAAAATTGGCAGGTTTGTTGGGTGAGCGTTTAGGAGTAGAACACTTTCTCTCTCCTCATTTGAAGCAGGAGTGATCCATTCCAACGTTGACAGATTTCCCTTATTGTTCTCTCTCTCTCTTTCCATGGCCAAAACAAATTGGACCTCTCTTGGCTCCAGCCGTCTCCGCAGTTGTCCAATCGATATCAAAAAAAGTTACACTGTTTCTTCTTCTGATTGAAGGAAGAAGCTACCATTCATCACTGGTTTGTTTTCGGTGAGACTATGTACAAGATGTCCAAAATTTGTTCCCCCGATTCAGATTTTTCAGGGAGTCGATGGTGGATGCAGTGCTTCAGATTCAGTCTGAAATGGTCAAAAATCCAAAATCTGGCAATCTAATCACGCTGAAATACACTGATAAGTCGTAAGTCCTTCCTCCGCAAGCTCCGTAGGACGCCCGCGAGGAGGTACTTAGTTAAGTTAGGGAACATGGTGGTAGATGAGGCTGAGTGACTATGTAGAGATGGCTATGCATTTTGAATGGACTCCGCATTCAGTACAGGTTTTGCACAGGCTATCTATCTTTTCGCCCATTTCCAACAATCGTTGAATGCGATTATGGTCAAAACACAACATTTTGCGTCCTTGGCCTCCACAGGCGTGAGTCCTTGTTGAGGACATTGAATACGCATCAAAAGATTGAAATGGTGTGGAGCGTGATGAACATTACAAGTGGCGTCTTAAACTGGCTGAGCTTGGCGTTCACCTTGCATCAAAGAGCCATACATGGGGTTTTCCAGGACCGCAACAAAGATAGGATGTGAAGCATAAATTGGTCATAAGAAGACCTCAACGTGTTGGATCAGTTCCCCGGACAGTCTCACCAATTGTCTACCATTCCCTCAATTGACACCTACATCAATATGTCTTTCAAGAATTATCTCACTATCGTTGTGCTGTGTATCACGATGTCTTTCCTTACTATGAACCCAGTCAATGCTACCAATTGTAAAGGTGGATACAGGACGGACGGCACGACAGCTTGTAAATACTTTTCCTTCCTTTCAACGATTTGGTCCTATACATACATAAATACGTTCTGATGATTTTTTTCTTTCACTCTGTAGATTGTGTTGTGGATTCTAAGCAGGAGAAATACTATCATTGTGATGCTGCTAAGTGTGGTCATGATAGTACGCTATACAAAAACTTCTCTAATGAATTCTTTCCAACGTATCAAAGCTTGATTTAAATCTGACCTATTTGATGAATTTTGTGATTTTCCAGACGCTCGCTTTGTTTCATGGAGCAAATGTGTACCTTTCTACAAAAGTGATGGTACTGCCAAAACCACACAAAATTGCGTGACCTACGATCGCCATGACTCAAGCCGTTACAGTCAGTAATTCTTTCCTTCGCTCATTGATTCATCGTAACATTTGTTTTTGTTCATCAACTTTTCTGACTTATTTGTTTTGCCATCAAAAATCTTCAGCCTGTACCAATGCTAAGGAGGATATATTCATTTGCCCTCATAAGTTTGAAGATAGACCCATCATGTGTATGTTTAACCTATTATTACTATGGTGAAGTTGAGAAATCTGACAAAAATCTCATGTCTTTGTGTTACTTCAATTCAATAGCATGTGATTTGAGCGTGTAGACGCGTCCTGCTATAAGTACATTACGTAATTAGACTAATGCACATTAAGGGGTTTCAAGTTGGTATAATTTTTATGTGATTTTTACAAATTCGGGCAAGTTTTTTGTAATTTTTTTTTGCGTAAAAACATCGTATTTTTAAAACGGGAGACGTAAAAAGGTCTCCCGTTTTAAAAAATTTACGCACATTTTACGACAACGGCCAAATTTCTGTAACGTAAAAAAACGTAAAAAAACTTAACTTGAAACCCCTTATTATAGATTATCTTTTCTATTGTGTTATGTGTTTTGTATGAGAATAACTTCATTCATCACTTTGTTATTCTTTTCTCTTTTCTCATCGAACTCAGTACTTTTCTTTCTCATAGTCTCGTTTCTCTATATTGTGATCCTCTGGAGCAGATTCATATAAAGAGACTCCAGCACAAGTTCATTCACCCATCATCAGATTCCTTGACCTTTTCCTTTCGATCAAATCCCACTTGTTTCAGATTGTTGCAAGCTGAGATACCACAATCGACGTCTTCTTCCTGTTTTGCTTACTTCTACTACATCCAAGATGCTCCGCCTCTTCCTAAGAATCTCCCTTCTACTCTTTTCCCTATGGATTCATGGCCTGAAGGCTGATATGTGTGTGAGTAATGCACATAATAATAAGCTTGTTGCAACGATAGGCTTATGATGAGTAAAAGAATCGAAACAGATCATCTTTATTTCTTTAACACAAAACAATAGCTACTGCATAACAAACACAAGCAAGAGAGAAAGATAGAAATAAAGTAAATATGAAAAGAACAAGCTTACCTGTGAGTAATGCACATAATAATAAGCTTGTCAATACAATAGGCTTATGATGAGTAAAAGAATCAAAACAGATGATGTTCGACTCTTGGTGCAAAACTTCACAGGTGTAAGTAGTGAGAACAAACAACAGAAGAGAGAGTTAAATATGAAATAACATATGTAATGATGATAATATGAAATAACTGAGAAAGAATAAAGAAATCAAATAATGAATCAGAAGAACATAACCGTGACAACATTTCAAATATAATCATCATAACCAATAACCATTAATGTGGACATGTAACCAAGCGCTTACCACCAAGGGTGATGCTGCCGGTATTTGATTTCATTTTTGTCTTCTGACTCCAACATCACTTACACCCACGGCTAATGCAAACCTGTTTTGGATGATTCACGTTAGTATGTAAGATCAAGCGTTGAGAAGCCATACATTTGTATACCTGCAGTTACAAAAGTTGCTGGTATGATAGTAAGCATATTCCAAGCCGGTTTCACCTTTGATATATCCTCATAATTCTGATTATAAGGAGGCCTCCAGTTTGGATCCTTTGTTAGATCATCAATATCTTTTGTTGGCCAATTGTCGACACTACCTATCAGAAGGCTTTAGTGTCCAACCATGTGCTCAATACGAATTCGAGGGAAACGACACATACAGTCAGTATCCTCCTTCTTGAATCAAGGGTCCTGACAAAGTGTCTTATCCGAGATTTGCATTTTGCATTCAAATGGGGGATGATTAGAATGTATCAACCCTGCGGGTCTAGTATATCGATGCCTATATCATCCTCAAGCCAAATTTATATCCCTGGGTCAATCATATTTGGTCATCAATCAAAAGCTGACTTTACTGAAGTGTAGCCCTCCTTTCAGAGTGTACATCATGCAAACCGGCATCGTGATATATCACACGTCAAGACCTTCTGGGCATCTCCGAGGCTCAAACAACCTGAAAAAAAGGAAAAAATCCTGCACAGTCAAGCAATCAATGGGGTATCTTGGCCCAATCCTGACGTCCTGACTAGTATCAAATCATTCCCTTTGTACCTTTCTTCGCATTCTGTCAACAGTCCTTTCATGTCAACCCTGCACTTTGCCACACTTGCTTTTAATGACTTGTGCTTTTTATCAGCCATACAAGAGGTTGACGTATTGTTATGCAACTACAGCTACTAAAGGGATTGTTGGTAGATTTCACCCCAAAGTGTCACCGAGGGACCATGTCCAAAAGGGTTAAATCTTTGAAAAAACCTTTTTTTTTAAATCTGCTTCCTTTAGTACCGTGGGTGAGCTGTCACCACAGCCTCTCTACCCCTCTTGAAATCTACTGACGTGGTGCTTCCATGGAAGCACCGATTTGTCGTGCGGTTTTGGAGGAAGCACAAACCCCTCCAACATTGGCACAGGGGTTGATTTCTTTCGCTTTCTCCCCTCCCCCTCTATCCCGCTATATCCCTTTTTTCCCACCGGTTTTATCAAATTCCCTGTTTTGCAACCTGGTAAGCTTCCTTTCTGCCATCTCAACGTTCATGAGCACCTGCTCACTCAAATTTCCATGTTTTTTATCCCACTCGACTGTACCCCTTGATTTCTCCCCAGCCCGATTTTATCGATTTCCCGGTTTTCCTACTATCAATTCGAGTTTTATGAGCACCTCCTCACTCTCATATCTGTCTTTTTCCTACGCAGATGCCAATACACAGCCCCGAAGTCAAGATGCTTGTGGTCCGCATGGTCCTTTGAGGAATGTGATTTTGTGAGATCATTGAATCCCTCGGCATTCAACTCTCCCTCACCTCGGTCCGGCGTTGGTACGATCTTTACCTGACAACTCGAGCCATATTCACCAATCCGAATGAGCATATCGCTTCAGGACCTGCAACCACTTTGGGTCCGGCCAAACACCAATTCATCATGGAGTCACTCGACGTCGACCCAACCCTTTATCTAGACGAGCTGAACGCTTGTACCGTACATCCCAATCAATCCATGGAGGCACAAGGTGCCTACATACAGGCAGTTCATGACATTGACTCTAGGCACAGCCCCCAACTACTGGTCACTGGCAGGCCAGTACATCCGATGTCTCCAAAATGTTTTCAACAAAACTTCAATTTGTTTTCAGCATAACATCCATCTGCTATCAGGATGTTGTGGGTCAGTTACCAGCAAAATATGTCATACCACCAAAATTGAGATGATGTCATACAGCATCATAAACCTGTACAAACCTGCTCCTGTATTTCCCCACCAAGAATATATAGTTTATTAACCTTTGTGACATAAATTGACTGAGTTATTGAGGTTTGAAAAAAAATCACGGACAAAAAATATTTTTGTACTATACCTAAGAATTGATTCTGGAATATCTTCCAGCTTTGTCAATATACATACACAAAAAAATTGATATTCCTTTTGAAAACATGTTTCTCCACATTTTTGTCCCCTAAAGCCTTCCTGTGTGGGCAGTATTTCTATATGTAATTGTGGTGTGTACAAAAGCAGTGAATAATTTGATTGATTCTTTGTTTCCAGGCAGAATGTGGCAAAGTTTATGGCAGAGATTTTTGTCAAATACCATCTACATGTATATCGATCAAATTCAGAATGATTTTGGCAATATGTTCCCTCAAAATTTTTATCAGGGCAAAGAACTTCAGAAAATCAAACTTGCAGACACATTCAGGAATTACATGTAGAAATACTGCCCATACAGGAAGGCTTTAGGGGACAAAAATGTGGAGAAACATGTTTTCAAAAGGAATGTCAATTTCTTTGTGTATGTATATTGACGAAGCTGGGAGATATTCCAGAATCAATTCTTAGGTATAGTACAAAAATAGTATTTTTTGTCCGTGATTTTTTTTTCAAACCTCAATAACTCAGTCAATTTATGTCACAAAGGTTAATAAACTATATATTCTTGGTGGGGAAATACAGGAGCAGGTTTGTACAGGTTTATGATGCTGTATGACATCATCTCAATTTTGGTGGTCTCCCAACCACTTCTCAACAAATTCCCAATCGATGGATGTTATCCATTTGGTATCCATTTCATAACTTTCTCATAACTTTCTCATAACTTGCTAGGGTCGGTGGGAGGCACTGGCCTGCCAGTGACTTGTGATTGGGGGCTGTGAGGTGTCTGGTCTTCACCAGTTAGTTTTTTGCTTTCTTTTTTTTTCATACATGAATGGATATCTGACGTTGGACCTCCCAGATGAAAGTGCGATCACAAAGCATAGATTGTTTTGAGATTATGCGCGTGCTCCTATTGGTCAACGGACCACTCGCATTCAAAGGCCCACCACTGCTACGTGTTGGTCGGTGCTACCTGCTATCTCCTTAGACGGCGTGATTGCGTGCCAAATCCAGGCAGGTGGCTACTCACGGATTGACTTCGAGGACTACCTTGAACACAATGTGGTGAGTCTCCCTCCTTTTAGATTTTTTTCTCATTCATGATACTAATTATGATGTCCTATCAACACAGTTACCGGCAATGAAGCCCTGGCCTACCCGGAACAGCGTCTTAGTGATGGATAACACACCTATCCATCACAACGGCCGGGTGGCAGAACTTTGTGAGGCTCGTGGCGTTGTGGTGATCAGACTCACTTCGAGCTCAGCTTTTATAGCTGAAGCTTTGAGGTTAAAAGCTCATATTTGGTATAGTTATTATTTCTTTTTGCTTTACTCATCGGAACCGACTCATTTCACATGACTGGGTTGAGGCTCAGCGGACTAAGAATTCATCCAATAGAAGATTACATTTGTTTTTTAATTCAATTCAAGACCAATTTTTTATATTATAATTATATTGAACAAAATCAGTAGAATGAAATTACATACAACAAAAGGAAGTTTTTTTTAGATGATTAAATTTAGAAATAAAGTTAACAAAAGAAGCAAGACGATAAATAAAATAATCTTAATCAAAGTCGAGATGGGAATATAGGTGGACCGAGAAGAGCAAGATAAAGTGGGAGGGATACAGTGGAGAGAGTGATCGATTGAGGGGTACCTAGAAGAACAATTGGGGCAATAAACAAACAAAAGATCGAAATCGAGATTGAGTCTAGGAATCGACGATTCATGAGGGTAGATCGAAAAAGCAAAGTTGAAGCTAATAACAAGTCGAGATCGATTAATTTGGAAGACCAAGGTGTTGGGAGCAAACCTAGAGGAGATAGA